ATCGAGTGAAACAGTCAAGCAATCGAGTGAAACAGTGAAACAGTCAAGCAATCGAGTGAAACAGTGAAGCAGTCAAGCAATCGAGTGAAGCAATCGAGCAATCGAGTGAAGCAGTCAAGCAATCGAGTGAAACAGAGACGCACCTTGGGAGAAAGCGACGGAGACAGGACGACCACCGTGGGAGAAAGCGACAGAGACGGCGATGGAGGAGGCAACAGAGACGGTGAATGATGAAAATGAAGGAGGCGATGGAGACGGTGAAGGATGAAGGCGATGGAGGAGGCGACAGAGACGGTGAGAAGGCGACGGAGACGGTGAAGGATGAAGGCTAAATTAGGGCAATAAGAGAAATCCGACCATACTTGGATTTGAAATACCACCCATTTCCAAAGGATTTCCAAATCCATCATTTAAGGGATTTCAAAGGAATCCTTGGATTTCAAATCCTCACAATCCAGCAAACCAAACACTGGATTGGAATGGATTTCAAATCCAAATCCCCCCAGTTCCATTCCATTCCGGCAAACCAAACGCACCCTAAGTATTATATTTGGATAGAGAAACATCATGTAAACAAATTTAAACAATTAAGTGATAATATATTTTTGTGACTCTTGGTCTACAAAATGATAATTTATCAGTGTGATGTTGCAGCATACATCGACAACAACTGCATTAACACGATCAGTTGACTAACAAATCCGATATATAATCATATTATATAAACAGACTTATTGTGTGTGTTGAAATATTGAGATAAAACCCACAAAAATATCTGACGAACATACTACGTTTAATAAGTCAATATTATGTTTTTAAGGTACTTCGTGATTGCAATTATATTACAAACGTATCTTGAATGACGCAGTTGGATTGGGTTCTTTAACACCCTCGACCTCGTCAAACCAACAAACGTGCATCTATATTTTGAGCAATGATTTACATTGTGGAGACAGTTGACATGAGATTAGATGTCCCGTAACAAATATTAAACAGTGGCTTGTGTTCTTGAGATAAGCCGGAATCCTTTGAACGACCATTCTTATAGCTGGTTTGTGGGCGTAGTGTACAGCAGTATGAAAACGTATACATAGTGTATAAGTAAACAGACGTTAGAGAGTAATATACTTGTAGTTGAAATTATATTTAAATTATCTATCTTCTTCCTTAATTTCTCGTTCTCTTTATGTCTCAACCAGTCTCTTAAAACAGTTTGCTTACCCATCAATATCATGTTTTTTCCTTGTGTTCTTCACCAGCGCTCGCCACCGAATAGCCTTTGTTGTACTGTCACGGGGGGTGGGACACTGCGAAGTGGGTAGTTTATTTGGGGCGGATGCCTCCTATTTTATTTATTACGCGTTGATGTTTTAAAACTTCTTTTACTTTATTTCAGTGCTATGTTGATTTTTTTAACTTAGGTATGAGGTAAAATTGGGTCAAAACCAAGTGATCTGATAGAGTTTGCTACAGTTCATTAGTTCGTTCCTATTTCATCCAAGATTAATAACCTGATATCGATAACATAACATCTCCTGCTTTTGATCGCTCATGGGTGCCTTTAACTAACGTTAAAGGGAGCAACCTAACTTTTAAACGAGAAACCATACCTGAACCTTGTTTAAATAAACAAAAGCTCGGGCTCCATTTGGGGTGCCCTAAGGCGCCTGACCCCAAGGTCACCCGGCGCCTTTACCCTGAGCGCCTACCCTTGGGCGGCTTTCTGCCCACGCCTCAGTGGCCTCGGCCATTGTTTGCTCAAACAAGGTGGTATGGATGTCCATGATTTTAAAAAGATAGATTTTGAAAATTTTATGGTATTTTCATTTACATGACATATTGTATGAAAAAATAAAGTGCTTTAATTTGATTCATATTTTGGATAACATACTTCCAAAATTCCCATTTTGGTACCTAAAATGTAAAATTTTAAAAATTTAAGTACTCGAGCAACCATTGAAGCATTAACCGGTTACCATGTCAATGTGATATCCGGTTAATGCTTCAACAAATAATACTGAGTTGGATACCACATCAGCATAGTAACCCGTTAATGCTTCAACTGGTTAACGGGTACTTAAACGTTTAAAACTTTATTTTTTAGGTATCAAATGTGTTACTTTTTCATGCAATTTGTCATTGTTTTTAGTCATCGGAATCTATAAAATCTATTTTCAAAATATTAGAGATTCCAAATTTAAGAACTCTCCAAAACTTTTGACCAAATTTGATGTTCCACAATCATTAAAATTGAAGTCGTGTTCTTGGTCGAACCTCCGGTGCCCTTGGAAGGGTTTTCTTTCCGTAGGCCACCAACTAGAAAAATTCCATTTCTATGTCAAATTACACATCGATTTGAATATATGGCGGCCTTGCTTCTTCGCCGGAGACCCTCACCGTCGACCTTTTCTCATACTCTTTCCTGCAACGGTACCTTTAGAACCCTTATTTCCCTTTCCTACTTCATGATTCCAAAAGAAAGCTGCATTTTGAGTTTAATTTTAAAGGGATTGCTTTTCCGTTACAACAATGCTTTATGAACTTACAATCTATGTTTAGACTAGGTTTTATTCCGTCCTTTCTTTTGAAGATAGGGCGTAACTGGGAGAAAAGAGAAGGTATATATACGAGTAGTTCTTGTATCAGAGTGGTTTATAGAGTGATGGATGTAACTGGCTTAATACCCAAGATAAATATGTTTTCTCTCTGCCCCAATGTATTGTATTGACCATTCTAGCAAGGGTTAAGATCTATCTCTATTGTGGTAACTGATTCAAATATAAATATATCAATATTGAAATTATACTAGACATGATATGGTTGGGATATAGGAAAAACAGGGTAAAATAATGACTTTGTAACTTAGCAGTTGACACTGCCCTAATAAGTAATGCGAACTTGTGTTGCGGGATGGAAGAAATTTTGTTTTAGGGTGTTGATCCATTGGTATATATCAGTTCTCAAACATGATGTTTATTTGCATGATGTTGATATTTGATCTATTCCCATTTGTGCAGTGAAATGTTTTCCCTCTCCTATTTGGACAGCTAATATGCATGCTTCTTGGCTCTTATGGGATCTAACATGTGGAGCATCAGCTCGAATACATGTTTCTTCAAGGCAGTTTAGCAGTTCCACTGGTGCAGTGAAGATGGATTTTACAGACCTGACGTAAGAACAACATACTCATGGTTATATTGGCAACATTTTTGACATATAATATATGCCTGCTTGAATGAGTGTTTTCTTATGCGGGTTTAACTTGCAAATATGACTTAAATGCCTTCTTACTATCTTCCTCTGAGGGAATTCATGCAATCTTTGCTTGCATTTTAGTCGGCCTCATACTTGGTACCCAATTGCTCGACGAAAGAAGCGAAATATATTTCTTCACGTGGGTCCAACAAACAGTGGAAAGACACATCATGCACTGAAGCAGTTGGAGCTCAGTTCTTCTGGTATCAATATCAATTATGCACTCCTTCCTTTATGGCAAGCTGTTCAAGTTTTGCCTTGCACTTGGGTCATTTTGTAGTTTCAGTATTGCCATTACATGGAAAGAGTCTAACGAAATAGAATAACTTAATAGTTTCACATGGTTTATATCTTCAAAACTAGAACTTATGATTCTTATGTTTCAAGCATTTCATTGGCTTTAATAAGTCCACTTGCTTCTATGATTATAAACTTATTTAAAGAGTACTAGGAAAAATGAGAGTTGCATGAATTTTGACTGCATGAATTTTGACTTGCACAAACCAAAACTTGACAACTGTCCTTGGAGCAAATAATTTTCATTAGCTTATAACTTTTTTAAACTGATGGTCTCAACAGCATATGTGCATTAAACTGGAGTTCCTCTTTATTGAAGTACTTGCAAAACTGTAATAAGGGTTATTTGAGCAATTCTCTTGTTCTTTTTTGTTTTTCCCTTTCGAAGATTTTCACACAAGCATCTTGCTATTTTTTTGTATTTCTTTTCAATTAGGTGTCTATTGTGGTCCTCTGAGATTGTTGGCATGGGAGGTTGCAAAACGATTGAACAAGGCAAAAGTTCTTTGTGATCTGATTACCGGACAAGAAAAAGTGGTTGTTGATGGTGCAAGGCACAAATCTGTCACTGTAGAGATGGCTGATGTAGCCTCTGATTATGATTGTGCTGTTATTGATGAAATTCAGGTGTGTCTGAGTTATTAATAGGATTATGCACACACTCTGAATGGTGATGCGTACACTGAAATTAAATTTATAATTAATTTCTCTGAAGGGCAAATATGGCTGAAGGTAAGCCATATACATAGAAAGGAAAAAAGCAGAATGAGCATTGCTACTTACTGCATTGCTTTGATGGGGGTACCCATTGTTAAAAGATGATTTTGTATTTGCAGATAAGGTACAGAATAAGCTGCAATGATGCTCATTTCTTGAAATGAGCAGCTTCTTATATGTTATATATTGTGGGCTAGTATTTCATCATTTCACTGTTGATTGTTGGGGCAACCATGTGACTCTTCTCCATGCAGATCATCCCCTTAGGGTGATGGAGTGATTGTCTATTGAATGTTAATATGAAGTTGTTGAGTGCATCTTGTCAATAAATATTGCGTAGTTATTTTCTTTGATTCCAAACATTTGCCAACATACAACATTCAAGAGGTTACTTGAAAGACTGGTGACACCATTTAGTCGGGAGTTGGGACTGTAATGAATTCTATCTTTCTATATGCAGATGCTAGGGTGCAGGACACGGGGATTTTCATTTACACGTGCTCTTTTAGGAATTTCAGCTAATGAGCTTCACCTGTGTGGAGATGCTGCTGCTGTTCCACTAATTCAAGAAATTCTAAGTGTGACTGGTGACAGTGTCCAGGTAGTGAAATAATGTTTGTGGATGATATTATGTCATTATTTGTTAGAGACTAAGCATGCTAGGTAGTGTCATCTAGACCAGATTTGAGTATCGCATGTATTTTTCTTCTGAAAATTACATGTATTTAGTCTGACAAGATGGTGAAGGTAATGTATGTGCTTATGAACTGCTATGAGAACTCCCATTTATGTTAAAATATTTTGCTTGGGCATCATGCTTCTTTTAGACATGGATTATACCTCCCTGTTTAGGACAATTAATTTAACTATGTGCTTGGTTTTGGAATGATAAATAGTGGAAAATGGCAGTTTTGAGCAATTGGGGATGTCAACTTGTGTATGCATTGTTCTGGAAAAATTCTGTTTTTTCCTGTACATGAACTTTATTGGGTTACTGAAACAGTTCCCTTCTATTTTGTAAGCATAAGTCATAGATTTGTCTCGCCCTTTTGATTATAAAACTCCCCGTAACGGTGCATATGTTTCTGCAGTTCATTTAATTTTCATGAAGAACTTCAATAAATTTACCTTTTCAAATCATCTCTGCCATACCTCCTCCCCTTGATTACTAATGGTGAATATTGTTTTTTGGCTAATCCTTTACATGTTTTTGTTGTGATTGATGTGAGTTATCTTGTTTGCATAGGTAAAATTCTACGAGCGACTTTCGCCACTAGTACCATTAAAGACCCCCCTTGGATCGTTTTCGGACATAAGAACTGGTGATTGCATTGTGACTTTCTCACGCCACAAAATATACAAACTAAAGGTAAGCTCTAACTCTTAGTGGTTGTGATTCGACATAAGTTTTTGGTTGTTAGACGTTCAATGATAAGAACATGGAAGAAAATAATAACTCTCTTAATGCAATTTCATTTCCATGTCCATTTTTGTATGTCTTAATTTTTTTAGTGATCAGCAGTCGTAGGCGTTCTGTTGGACAAATTTTCGTCTAGCAAAAATATACTTGCTGACTTCCCATGGGATAAGTTACATATATCTATGTCTCTATATGTAAATGTATCTGTGTGTCCATGTATTTTGCAATAGTAGCTTCTAATCTGTCACAGATTTGACCTTCTAGTTATCTCTCTGACTCTGCTCATCAAGGCGAGCCCTTCGTGGGATTGGTATGCCGTGTATAATGATACATGATCAGAATGTCTCGGGAGAATATCATAGATATCTTCGTTCTTCCCAAGGTTCCAAACGAAGTGAGGCATGTTGGCTACGAGGTCAAGCCTCAAGCCTGTGGAGCCACGGCGATGCCACTGTTTTTCAAGGCGTGGCTTAAGTTGGCAAATCTGTATATCATATATGCAATATATATACATATATATATTTTCTATTATTCCTCAATGATATTGAAGAAAATAAATTCATATAAACAGAAGAAAAATCATGTATTGATATATATGTATATATATATATATATATATATATATATATATATATAATAGAGAGAGAGGGAGAGAGAGCTTACAAATTTTTTATGACAATGTAACAAGTAAAAATTAAGCTAACTTAAAAAAAAATTAAAAATTCAAATAACACCCTAAAAGAACCCACGTCATAAAATGTCTTAAGACACCATGGGCCACGCCTAACGTCACACAACCGCTCCCGGGGTTAATGTGACATGGGAGGTTCGTCTTGCACCAAGGTGACAATTTTGATTTCAATTCTACATATAATTTTAGACATCCATTTCAAGCACTTGTTTTTACATTGTTGTCTTTTAGGTTTAGCAACACCTTTAATCTCCTTGGGCTTGAAAACAGTTTTCATGATAGTTGCATGTCCACTAAGGTTTCACTTCTGTCAAGTGCTTTCTTTTTTCTCTTCGGCCAGCTGTTATAACATATACAGTGGCTAGTATCTCCAAGATAATCTTTTAGTCTTTCATGTCTACTACACTTATTTTGTTGTCAGATGCTTCCATGTTCTATATCTAGTTGATCAAGATGGCGTCTAACCAACTTGGCTTTTGTTTGTTCTACAAAACCATGTTCCAGTTGTCGTCCTGTAGTCCATTGTGTCTACTCATTTATTCCCCTGACACTTTGTGCATACCATTAGCAAGAAGAGGTGTGTTAGGGAATGGTGAGATTTTTCAATGAAGGATAAATGCATGAGAACCTATCAGAAGTGAATATGTTTAACCACAGTCTACAAGCAAATTATGTGTGTTGAATCGGTTTGCCTTGAACCTTTATGACATTCTTGGGTATAACAAGAAGTTGTATTAAAATCCTTGGTCTAGAAGAACTTGATAGACTTGGATTACATTTTAGTTTGAACGTTCTCATTGAATCGAGGAAGAAATGCTTTTTTATGCAAGTCATGGGTTCTATATGCAAGTATATTTTGTTTCATTAAGCAATCAGAATAATTGTAACATGTCCTAGTAAAGCCATGGGCACCAATATGTAGCATCATGGTGATTAACCAAAGTTTGGAAAGAAAAGATTTCATACACCCAAGTTTATCCATCGCTCTATTGAAATAGGGCTATGAGGATCAAGAAGCATGTAGGCTATTTTCTAGATATAGTGTTCAATTGACTGGTACCTGACTGCTATTGATAATCCTTTTCTACGATCAACTAAATTCGTTCTTTTTGTTGTCAGAGAAAAATTGAAGACGGTGGAAAACATTTGTGTTCTGTGGTTTATGGTTCATTGCCTCCTGAGACTCGAACAAGGCAGGTATTTGCTTCTTCCTGCTCAAAATTGTTGTAGTTTTTTACCTTATCACAATTTGTTGTTGTGCTTCCATCTTATTTTTTTCTATAAGACAATACTTTTGAAGTTCTAGGTGAACTCTTAGCAACAAGTCAGCCTTATACCTTTTATTGGAATCATCTGTTCTATACTTCACTATATACACCTACTCGTATCCTGAGACTCCTTTCTGGCGTCTTTACTAATTCCCTTGTTTTATTCTTTTCTAGATATTTCATCTTTTCATTTACGCCTTGTTTCAACTTTTCATTTGCAAGAGCATGCAATGAGTGTTTGGTACATCATTTAGATCCCTTTTTAGAAACAGCTGTAAGATCTTGGTTATCTTCAGAAGGTTTTATTTTAGTTGGTAAACAAGGTTTAGAAGATATTACTTCAGTGTTTGGTTCCGTATTGGATCTTCTATCGTGTCTAGATACACGTGTTCAACGCCGTTCCAACTTCCACCTTGTAAACACTTTCTCAAATCATCCATTCAATTGGTGGTTGAAGGAATGAATTAGGGATTTCAAAAGTAGATATATTTTGACTAGTTTGGGTTTAATGGGTGATCTAGTTGATACATGTTTTGGTATGATGGGTGATTCAGTTGGTATAGGTTCAGGTATGACAGGCATGGTGTGTTTTAAAGGCCTAGCAGATATGAGTGATAAGCTCTGAAATTGTTCTTATTTTCTTGTCCAGGTCTCTTCTTGAAAGTAAGGATAAGCGAAATAGGTCTCTTGTTCATGATATGTCACATCTATAGAAACATAAAATTGGATGGTAACATTTGTAAGCATTTTTAACCAAACCAAGTATGTCCTACCTGGAAGCAAGATTAGGGGGCTGTACATGGAGCTTTCCTATACCCTAAAGAGTAGGGTGATTGTTTCCATGAAGATCTCTGATTTGTGAACAAGTGTTTGCTAAAAGGTCTTAGGGAAGACCTAACTGTTAAGTGCTTCAGAAAGTTTGTCAAGAAAGATTGAAACATTTGAAAAGCAGGGAGGAACTTGGGACCAAAAAGGTGAGTTTCATGCTTCAGAAAGTTTGTCAAAAAAGTTTGAAGAATTTGAAAAGTAAACCAAACAGGTAAATTACGAGGATTTTTTGAAAAAAAGAAAAAAAAAACAAAGACTAGAAAAGGTAATAGAAGTTACAGAAGTAGGTATATTAAAACTTAGAAATATGTAGGAAAAGTACGGACAACTAAACATCCATCTATCTAAATTAAGGCTCATGTAACCTATTGGCGACCTATTTGTCCACTCTCCAACCCTCCTGTCTCACCTTCTACGTCTTCAATCTCCGTCCTCTCATCCACGTTAGCTACGGTCCCTACAAATATAGTCTGTTACCATGTCCAACTTTAGTTGCCCATCCCACGTCCTCCTCGGCCTTCTCCTCCTCCTGACCCCTTGACTGTCGTGCTTTCTATCTTTTCACTGGTGCTGTCATTTGTCTCCTGCGAACGAGTCTAAGCCACTACTTCCCTCTCTCAGTTTATCTGTATAAGTGTAATTCCCAACTTGCCCTTAGGATCTCATTTGGTATTCTGTTCAATATGGTTTGACAATAGCTCCATCTGAGCATCCTCATTTTTGCAACTTTCAACTTTCATAGGTCTCCCTTTTCACACAACATGCCAACCTATACAACATAGCTGGTGTGATGGCCTCCCTGATTGTGATTATGAATATGGACATATGAGAACCAAATATTCTAAATTATTTGTGGTTGTAGGTGAGAATAGAAAGTGGAAAGTTTCTCTATGGGGTTTGGAATTTTAAGCCATGGCAACGATTGATCAAGTGAGTAGAATATGGATTACTCCCCCCTTCCCCAAAAGAAAAAGAAGACCGATACATTTTCCTAAAATAACGAGGCACCAGTTCTCTCAAGTAGGTGACCGATCCTTTTGTAAGCTGCCTCATTCTATTGAGGAGGTGGTAACACCGTGTGTTAGATAAATATTCTTTGACGTTATCTGTTTGGCTCGAATTGAGACTCTCTCAAAAAGAGAAGTTTGGGAAGGACATGACTTACATCTGTCTTTTGTTTGAGCAAAAACAGTCATGTGACACAATTACAATCATCTATAAAAGATACAAACCATCTTTTGCCATAGACATTTGGATCGTTTGGGTGTCCCCACATGTTGCTATGAAGAGGGTTCAAAAGAAAACTCACTTATTTTGTTACTGGCTTGAAATGAGACATTTCTTTGTTTAGCAAGTTCACAGTGAAATTGTTCTACATCAAAACCATGGAACAAAGAGGGAAACAAGATTTGTATGACCTTGAGTGGGGGGGGGGGGTGACCAAGACAAGACGATGAAGCCAAATTTGTTTATATCTGATGAAAAAAGGTTGGTTATTAGAGAATGAGGTAGGTTGCTGCTCTTGTGTCTGTGTGCAACCTGAAAGATGTGTCAAGGAAGTAGAGACCATTCCTTTCCCTAGCACGTCGAATTTGTTCTCCTTGAATGCTTGTCCTTAAGTACACAACGATCATGGTGAAAAATCATATTCTATTCATATCTTTGGTAAGTTTTTGGATAGAAATGAGACTGGTAGACATGGTTGAAAAGTGAACGACCTTTTTTTAGGTGATTGATGAATTTAGTTTATTATCTCTTAAACCGGCCTGTATTATCAGAGAACCATTTGCTGTTTCAAAATTTTCAATTGCTTGGCATGGAGTTTGAGAAAGAGGTTTGATGAGGGAGTAATGTGACTGGTTGCACCTGAGTCAATGATTCAGGATTTGGCAAAGGAATTAGCCAAGACATTTGATCCAACGAAAAAGAAGATTCACCTGGATACACCAAGGAACAAGTCCATGAAGGTTTTTTGATATCATTCATGAGCCTTTTTAATCTACCAATTTCTTGGTTGAACTATATCAACAGTTACTTGCCCTTTTTTTGCAAATGGTATGAACCCATTGGAACCACTTAAGATAATTTCTCTCATCAGGCCTATATGCTGCTTGTGTGCTCTGAAGCTTTCTTGGATGCTGATATAGAACCTGCTCTATTGTTTCGGATGCTTTAGACATAGTCACACTTGGGTTTCTTCAACGGGCAGGAAAGGATAAAAACTGACTATAAGGCTTTGCTAATGAAGGATTGACAGAACAAAACATAAAATAGTGATTCAACTAATCAGGAAAAAGACAAACAAGAAAGCATGATAAAATATTGTAAGTACTATGTTTTATGGCAGAAAACAGAGCAAAAACAAGGCTGGAACTTGGCAGTAATGAATGCTACATACAGGAAGAAATGATTTCCAGAAGATTCCCTAAGAATCTGATACCATGCCATAAATTGAGGAAGAATAATGCTGTAGTCAATTTAAACAGACTAGGTCACTGTCCTTCTAACATTTGATTAAAAATTTTCCTACTAATGTTGGATTTTTCTACCCAATCTTCTCCAACATATATTTATGTATAACTGTGTTGTGTATGTATATCGGTAAAAATTCTGGGAGAACGTCAAGAGTTGCTGGTTTCTTGTAAGAAAAATAGAGAGAGAAAGAGAAGAGAGAGAGTGTGTGTGTATATATAGCATGAGCTTGAGGTGTGCACCCAGTCTATACTTTAGATGCCAAATGATCATTTTGCTTGAGTGGGTGGGGCACAAATTATCTTCTATAATATTTATGGCACAAAAATGTTGTATGTGTCCTAATGTCTCAAGCAAGTAATGTATATGGTCCTTTAATAGAAAAGGCTTGTAATACATATAAATTTCATACATGGTTTGTTCACATGTTATGCTTTATTAGTTTCTTGGTCCCTGTGTCCATATGATTGCATTAAAACTTTTGAATTGATATCTTTAGTTAAAACTGCAGGCCACTATGTTTAACGATGAAAGTAGTGAATTTGATGTTCTTGTTGCAAGTGATGCCATTGGAATGGGCCTCAATCTTAACATTTCTAGAATTATATTTTCGGAAATGGAGAAGTTTGATGGACTGGAAATGCGACCGCTTTCTGTACCAGAGATCAAACAAATTGCTGGTAACTTTTATTTTGTATGGAGCATATCTTGCATTCTGTTTCTAACACTGCACTTTCCAGCAATCTAGACTATGAAATTGGCATTAAGGTCCATGAAAGATTGGTAATTGACCAAGTTTTGAAATACTAGAATATATTGCCTGCCCCAACTCTGTTATCCCTTCGGTCTTTAACTAGGAGTTCCATTTTCAAATATGGAAGAATGTACGAACAAAATTGTCCCTTCAGTTTTCTTGAACCTGCCACCTTTGTTTCTTAACTATTTTTTATCTGATGGTCTCTAAGTGAATATTGTTCCCCCAAATTAGTTTCCTATCTATTATTATTGGTCATAAACTTCTATTTAAAAGGGAAAATTGTAAAATCTGAAATAGATGCAAACTAGAACACAATCTATGTAGCTATGAGCACAAAAGAATAATATACACATTGCTTCTGAACTGATGATTTCTTGGACAAATTATACATATGCATACACACACTGCATGTTGAGTTATTTATGTAAAGTTTCTCTTAGGCCTTGTTTGATTCACAAAATCCAGTTGCATTTGGAGAATTGGAGTGCCAATTCCTTTGACCACATTCCATTGCTATGTTTGGTTGCGTAGTGAAAGGAATTGAATTCCTTCAAAATCCCATTGAATTCCACGAGTGTGGAATCTACCATTTCTATCATTCCAACTTCTTCCATTGTATTTTCGAATCTTTATTATCTTGCAATCGAAATAAAATAAATTAGTCATCTATTTATCGGTCTGCTTGGTGGTTAGCAGGTATCTTATAGTGGGATTACTCTGATACCTGGGAGTAGGTGCATATATAAGGTTTGGAAGATGCATGTCAGACCTGTTTCCAACTTTTAAGTTCCATTTTCTGTCATCATTGTCGCTAAACACATTAAGAGTAACTAGGACTGTAGATGTTGATTGGATTGAATTAGTTGATTGTTTCTTGTTCAATTTGGTAATGTGTATTTTGTTTTTGTGCAGTTCTAGAAGGTGTATGATTTCACTAAAAAAGAATCTAGATTTGAAAGAATTTGAGACATTTTGATAAGGAACATCTTGAATGGTAATTCTTGACGTAGCATGCCTGTGTCTTAATTGCAAAATCAGCCACCATACTAACTTCAACTGTTAAGTAATAGAAAGATATTTATGCTCACTTTTTGTATCTCCAAATAGTAATCTCACGTCTGTCAGTTGTTTTCCTTATCCAGTTGCTATAAAAGGTCTATTAGCTTTGACATTTCTATGTATAATATACATTATAGGTAGAGCTGGCAGGTATGGATCTAAATTTCCTGCTGGTGAAGTGACTTGTCTAGCTGCAAAAGACCTACCCTTGATCCATTCCTCACTAAACCGCCCATCTCCAATTTTAGAGGTATATGCATTTCCTATACTTGACACTCTATTCCAATAAGTGGGTTAGTATTCAAGTCTCGTCAACTGCTTTTAATTCAACGTCTGTTTGAGAAACATGGTTTTTTATGATTATCTAAAACCTTTTGTTAATGATGCAGAGGGCTGGACTATTTCCTACCTTTGATCTCCTATACATGTACTCTCGTTCACATCTAAATTGTGGTCTGTGCCAAATACTGGTTGGTTATTATCTAGTTCTTTCTTTCGCTTATCCTTCTGACCTGAACTATGCGAGCATTGAACTTCATGACGCTGTAGTCCATAGAGAGTGCATATTCTGTTAAGTTTGCTAATTACAATTTACAAATTTCACGGATGGTGGGTTTATGTCCATATGATATCAAGTGCAACAGAGAGAGGACTACCATTTTGCCATATGCCTACAGCTTGATTCTATTTTGGAGTTGTATATTTGAATTACAAGTTGATAACTAGTGAAGTAGTCAACAGGTATTGAAGAAGAATAGAGATGAAGCATGAAGAAAGAAAATAAAGCTCTATTGCTCAAGATAGAATGAATTGAGTTGTAGTTAACTAAATGGGTCCATGCCAGAGCCTTATTGTGGTCCCAGTAGATTTTTGTTTGTGACACAATTATCCTTCACGAACCCATCCTTCATGAACCCGTTTTCACATGTTATTTTTTCCCATTATTATTTTATCTTTTGCTTCCTCTATAAATTAGTTGTTAATTTTGTGAAGAATCTGTAATTAAAATCAAGGTTAGTTGATAAGAAGCTATTGGCAAGGCTATAGGATGAACATGTCAATAGGAGCAATGAGGTTACAAGTATCGTCTTTGTTCATCAAGTGAATGTCCTTTTGCCTTTTGATTTTGTTCATCAAGTGTGAATAACTAGACGATAAATGGTTTAGAGCTGCATCAGAGGGAAGATGTTGTGTTTATCAACAAATTATTTTTGTAGGTGTATAGTAAAGAAAAACCACATAAAAGATAGAACATACGAGGGAGTGGGAAGGTGGCAAATTTAAAGAAACGAAAAATAAAAGTAGAGACGAGGGCAGAACACTCAAAATTACGGAACAAATTATGCAAAAGGCCTTTTTGGCTGCCAGAATAAAGGTAGAGTTTATAGGCCACACAGCTCACGTGTGTAATCCTTGTATGCTTTTCTGTTATCTACAATAGCTACTTAAGAGTAATCGTGTTTGTACTGGGAACTGGGATCTTTACTAGTTTTCTGTCACTGACTGTGTATTTGTTTTATGTCTTTTCCTTTATAGTCTATTAATTCCTACACTTTTTATAACTGGCTAATCAATAGAGCCTCTTATCAATGACGTTGAAGAACATGTAGATCAAGTTTGATTTTGGTATCAAGTTTCCCTTTGTTAACCTGATAAGGATCGACAATCTGATCATTCGCCATCTTCCATTCTCTATTTCCAGGAACAGTTTTTGGAGAATGCCAAGTTATCTGCAAACTATTTTATTGCCGATTGTGAAGAAATGTTGGTATGCTTTGCAAACCTTTCTTCCCTCAATAAAATCATTCTTAGGAATCTCGAGGGGTAGCATAGTGGTCTTTGGTGTCTCAGCTTTGACTCTTCCCATTCCCTTAAGAGGTTCATATAACTACTTAAATAAATAAATCAAGTATTGTTGATGAATAAAACTTGTTTTATTCTTATATGGCACTTGAATCAAGTGGCATATTTAATGTATGTGAGTTTTGGATATAGACATTTCTAGTTGTCCAAGTGATTTACTTCCTGTTTCTTACCACAGAAAGTTGCTGCAGTACTCGATGAGCTGCCAATTTCCTTGCATGATAAGTACCTTTTTTGTATCAGGTACATCCTTTTTTCTTTGAGTTGAAAATCATATGCTAACATATACATACATACATACATACATATATAGAAGGATGATCAAACGAGAACAAAGTCAAAACAAGAAAACAAGAAAACGGCTAAATCACATGTGATGTTTACATGCGATTACAGAAACGGTCAACGCGAGGATGATGGGTGACCTAGCCTGCGATCTAAGCTCGCGGCAAAAGTGACATGAATCATGTGATTTTTGTGTAAAATCACATGTGATTCGTCCGTTCTCATATTCTCTTATTTGGTTATTATTCTCATATGAACCTGACTCCACACACACACACATATATAAGGTCAGGTTCAGGAGAAAACCACAAAAAAAAAATGAAAAACTGAGGAGCATCCTGGTAGCCATTCATCTATACGATATGTGCATACAAGTTATTTGTCCGGTGTGCACATGTGCATAGAAACCAAGAAACAACTTCAGTTACTTATATGCAAATGTATACCTCATTCAGATGAAAGTTACCAGGGTATTCCCCGGTTTTTCATTTTTTGGGGGGGGGTTCTCCCCTAAACCTCCTCTCCTCTCTATAATATCAACTTGGTGTATTGTCATGTTTCCTTCTGGCATGTTTGGATGTTTACAGCGTCTTCAAAACGTTAAGAATGATGGGTGTTAGATATGTGGATAAAATGTGCCATCTTTTTCCTACTATACAACCTTATACCATTAGTTCGCTACACTTCTTTGTTCTAATGGACCTCAGGAGGTAACTCCTGAACACCAGGACCAAACTAACAAATTGAGTCCACCAATCTTAATTGTGATTGGCATAAAAATTAAGACTCCTTGTGGATAGTGATATCTTTGATTGATTCTTCGATGCGTCTAATTGCTACAGTGAGAATTATCGTGTTTATTGTGCCTTTTGAAATGGTTTAGACTATGAAGATGCATCAGATTTGTGACTGGAGAACAAGAAAAGATATCACTATTTTTCGGCCCATCATTTTTTTGTCAACTCATTGACAATTGTTTTTTGCAGTCCTGCTGACATGAGTGATGAAATTTTATCTCAGGGCCTCACACAGGTGAAATCTACAATAATTTTTAGTTTCTCTTGATGGGTTTTTTCGGATGATAACAATTTTTTTCTAAATAGTTCGCCCATACATATGCAAAGAAGGAGATTGTTCGACTTCGAGAAATATTTACTCCAGGCACCCTTAAGGTGCCTAAGACTCAAGCTGAACTCAAGGAACTTGAATCAATTCATAAGGTAAGTTTCCTTGTGATGAGCTTCACATAGTGCCTTAATGAGATCAAGTGTGTATCACTTAGAGTGTTTATACAAATAAAAAAATACTCCTTCCTTCACACAAAAAGTCCATGTTACTCTTGATAGGAGGGGCCTCCCCCCTCTATATATATAAAAAAAAGTCCATGTTACAAAATTTTCTTTTTTCCAATAGAAGAGTAATATTTCAAAATATAAAATTTAAGATAAATTTGATATTACCTTCTTAGGGGACTAATCAAATGAGAGCATCTCTAACAAATTCTTAAAAATGGTGATTTTAGGCAAAATTTTGCTGCAAAAGATTCTCCAAAACTTTTTCAAAAGTGGAGAAAGTAGGAGAGAGAGTGTGAAATTCTCCAAATTTGGAGACCTCCCCAAAAATTATTACCATGAGAGAAATAGTTTTTTTTTAATTATATTCCACCAATAAGAAACCTTGATATTAAATGTTTAGGAGAGAAATTATTTTTTATTAATTGTATAAAATATTTTAATAATATAATTAATGTTGTAATCTCCAAAATAGAGATATGTTGGAGTTGGTTGTAATATCTTTTGAAGATTTTGGATTTTGATTCTCCATTTTAGAGACTTTTTGGAGAATGTGTTGAAGATGCTTTGAGAACCACAAAAAGGTTGAGAACTGTGAAAACCAACTTTAATTTATTGTGAAATAATGCATGTAAAAGTACAGTGTTGTTTCAGAATATGATTATTTATTAACTTCTAATTTTTGTTTCACATTGTGAAACAAAACTATACATTTACGTGAAACAACACATGATCTGTGGTTCTCACACTTTTTAACCTTTTTGTGGTTCTCATCTCGTTATGCCCCTACCTTCATAGTAGTTTAATGTAACTGTGAGTTTGTTGTTTGAACATAAATAATTATGGTAAAAAGTAACTCATTTGAAACTCGAATTTTTTTGAGTTAAATAAAAAATTCCATTTACACCCTTCTTGTCATCATTATGCTAGAAGGTTTTAGGGTTCATCTAAATTGAACATATTTTTTGTTTTTTTTTCTGGTGAAAGAAGGTTACACATTAGAGCTTTTCAAGTTGCCATCATTCATGAATGGATTTGGTTTTACATCCAGAAAAAGTTTGGACTTTTAATTTGGTCGCATTTGAAAAGAATGGTGGAAAATGATCTATAACATAATACTAAGCTGTCCTTTTCGGTCGTGTTTTAAGGTCTTGGAACTATACGTGTGGTTAAGTTTTCGGCTCGAGGATTCATTCCCAGATCGAGAACTCGCGTCATCGCAGAAGTCAATCTGTGGCATGTAAGTAAAATCAAGCTCCCCATTTTTTGGCTTGCACAAAATCCGGGTTCTTCATGGAAACAGTCACTTTACTTTTTGGGATACTTTTTTGGGGTAGAGACGGATCCAGATTTTTTTTCAAGTGGTTGCACAATTTGACTATAAAAATATCTATTTTTTCCACTGGTTGGTTCTTAGTCCTTACATAGAAGAGACCCGAGTCCGGTCTACATATATTTTTAAAAACACAAGAGGTACATAGGCAGGAGCATATTGACAAGTGTGGGACTCGAACCTGGGCCTTTTGTACATAGGCAGGAGCATTTTCCCATTAAAGTCTTGTGCTACCATTTCAGTTTCAAAAACTACATGGCACCCAACAAAACAATACGGTGGTACCCTTTAGAAGCGTAATTTTTCCCCTTACGACGAACCATGAAGTGGTGTACCATGCCACTGTATCGTTTCATGTGAGTCCACCCCTGGATCTCCGTACATCTCACCCTTCCCAGATACTACTTTTAGTGGGATTTATTGGGTCTTTTTTGTTTGATTTATTTAACACAAATTGTATGAAATTTTATTTAATTCTGCAAATTGCAGGTTGATTGAGGAGTTCTTGGAAAGATTAGGGTTTCAGAAGCCAATGCCAAGGAGATTAAAACAGTTTCGATAGCTTTCACATCCCCACTTTGTTTCATTCTACACATCAAAGAGAATTTTCACACACATCCAGTTCCAGGTAAGAGTAGGTTTAATGAGTTCCATTTTCTTTCCATTTGTGGGCTCGAACCGAATACGGGTCGGGCCTAATATTGCAAAACTAAGCCTTTTTTGGGCTCGATAATGCCTTTATACTCGCTTCATAATCACATCGGGCTTGCCCATGAGCTAACTAGCGATTGTGCTAGTTCTCATAATATGTTATATTTTTATTTATTGAACTTTTTTTTTATAAAAGAAGGATAATATATGAACTTTTGGCTATTATTAATTGAAATACATTTTTAAAAGATGTATTAGCCTATTGATTATATGACAAATTGCATGAAAATGTAACGTACTTTTAACTTGATTTTTATTTCGGGTAATGTACTATTAAAAACTTCCATTTTGGTATCTAAGATGTAATATTTTAAATATCTAAGTACCCAGGTAACCGGTTGAAGACTGATTTTAGATTAAAAAAAATCAATGTCACTAACCACGTCAGCAAATAATGCTGAGGTGGATACCACATCACCTGTCACATAAGCATGATAACTGGTTAATGCTTCAACTAGTTACTCGGGTGCTTAAATGTTTAAAACTTTACATCTTAAGAAACAAAATGAAAGTTCTGAAAGTACGTTTCCCAAAATAGAAATCAAGTTAAAAGTATGTTATTTTTTCATGCAACTTGCCCTTGATTATAAGAGCATTTTCAATATATTCTCCAAAATATAGAGACTCAGAGATTTTGGAGATCTTTTTGCTCTAACAGATTTCCTAAAACCTATTCAAAATGGGAGAAAGCTGTAGAGAGGAGGTAAAATATTCCAAATACGGAGAACTCCCTCAAAATGATCGCTTAGGAGTGAAAAATGATTGTATTTATTTTCATCGATAAAAATCTTTGAAATTAAATACTTACGAGACATTTTTTTGTAGTGAGCCGGTTACCCTACCTAAACCGATCATCATATCAGTCCCTAGGCCCCGTTGTTGGAAAGATTCGACTTGAAAACCGTACTTGGAGATTCCGCCTCATATGACTCCTCTCAAAATGGTTGTTATGACAGAACAAGAAGAAAACAAAAGAAGAGATTTGTCTGATAGTCACAAACAGTGTAATATAAATCTCTAAAATTGAGAATCTGTTAGAATTGAATGTATTTTTTTTGAAGATTTTGATTTTCTGACTCTATTTTAGATTTTTTTTTTAAAATTCGTCGAATGCTGCAGGAAAAACAAAGTAGGACGATAGTAAATAGAGATCCGAAATCTGTTTTACTCATTAACCATAAGTCATTTAAATAGAGATGGGTTATAAATAGATAATAATAAGATATATCCATTTTAATTTATTATTAATATGTATCTATATCGTTATCGTTATATTCATTTAACGATGATATACTTGTTCTTAAAACATTGAAATTGATTTACCTGACATACCCAAATAGGGGTATAAGCGAGTTGAGCTTTTAACGAACTACTCAAGCTCGATCTCGTTTATTTCGAGCCTGAGTTTAATAATTCTCGAGCTCGAGTCATTTCAAACACAAAATAAAACTTGTTGAACTTAACGAGTCGAGCTTCATAACACAAATGTTCGACTCGGCTCGCTTGAAAACTCAATTAAACTTTTTGAGTCGAATCTAGCCGAGCCATTCGAGCAAACATTTCTTCGAGTCAAATATGTTCATAAATAAAAAAATAAAAAAATAAAAAAATAAAAATAAATTATCAACCTCGAACCTATGAACGAGTTGAACGATCGTGAGTTCGAACCTGAACGAGCTCGAGCTCGGAAACTCAACAAAATAGTCGAACTCGACCTCTATATTGAAAAAGATATTCGAGCTCGAACCTGATATTTTTTTCTGAGCTCGAGCTCGGAAACTCAAAAAATAGTCGAACTCGAGCTCTATATTGGAAAAGTTATTCGAACTCGAACCTAATATTTTTCTCGAGTTCGACTCAAATAACCTACTACTCGACTCGGGTGGTTTGCACCATTTAACCAAAAATAGGGCGCCGTATACTTTCCGTTGTTTGACAAAGGTGACGAGTCATGATCAATTAAGAAATATTCCCCTTATCCCAAAAAAAGACGGCTTAAATGATGTAATTACTTTTACAATAAATAAATAAATGATAAATTATATTTAAATAATATATAATTTGTTTTGATTTTATTTAATAGTTTCGTTAAGAGGCAATATCTGAATCGATAATAGATGAATCTTGTTTGACAAAAAAAAGTGTTTCTTAATGGTTGTAAAACCATTTGAAATGATTTTGTATCTTGAGCATCCCTTAATCATTCACCACCCTAATTTCATTCTGAATAATTACCAAACAATTATATTTCATTTTCTACTGTATTATAAGAGTCCCTTAATTATTCTGATTACTTAATCATTTTGTATCGAACCATTTAACAACTGTCAAACAAACGGCCCCTTAATTTAAAAGCTTTATTTTTTTATTATAAGATATATTAAACAAGAGAATTTGATAATTTTGTGTTTGCATAACTATATTACATTTTTATTTTTTATTACATTAATTGCATCATATACAATATTAATTGTATTAAATTTTATAAAATAACGCTTTTAAAGGTAGGTTTTTTTAAAAATATATGAAAACAAAATACGCTATCTTATATAGTGGTTATTATTTCCTTTTTATTTATTTATTATTATTAACCTGGATATCCAACCCGTTATACGAGCCGACTAATCTCAGGACAACCACATGCTTTACGGATATCCCGGAGTCACCGCATTTGAACCTCCGTAGCCACAAGGGGATTCTTATTTATCCTTCGATTTGAACCTGAAACCTCCTGATACTTTTGACATTTGGAGCGAATCTCAAACTAATCAGACACCACCCTTGTGGTTTATTATTTCCTTTCTCATTCACATATCGTGCTTTTTTATTCCCTTCCTTACTCAGATATTCTTACAGAGGAGGTATAGAAGCATCTCAAACAGTTATGCTAAGTAAAGTATTAAAATTCAAAATCTCTTAAAAAATACATACAACATCAGCAACTACACTATATTAATAGTTCCAACATTAACTGTATTATTAAAATATCCAATATAATTAGGAAAATATTATTTCTCTTTTGAACATGTATTTCAATCACTTTTTTTTGAAGTATATAATATTTCTATAGGCAAATGCAACAAATAAATTTACACACCCTCCTCAACTTTGGTGAGATTTGAACCCTTGACCTCCTAAGAGGCCAAAGACTATAATACAGTAAGACCAAAGGCCCTTTGGTTTATTTTCAATCACTGTTATTGTAGGAAAGAATTAAAATGCTTTTTACACTTTCATACATAGAGTTTTAGAGATTTCTTTAAATTTAGAGTTTTTCATATATATATTTTTTTCATTTTACCATACAATATAACATATCTGCTGGAGCACAAAACTCTTCTAAATCACCAGATTTATTTTATTATAACATAACTGTTAGAGATGTTCTAAACAAAATACATTAAAGAAAATATTTTGTTCTTTGAGAAAGAGAAACGAGTATTTTGTTACAGTAGTGTACAAAATTTCATACTCTTGACTTTTTGTTACAGTTTTAATCTGATCTTGCATCCAACATTATACTTTATATAAGTTTATCCACATATTTAGTGGTTGTTTATCAAATACTTACTAGATAAGCAATTACCAGCGAAATATAATTATCTGTTTTACAAATATTATCTGTTCAATAAGATGTTCTCAATTTTATGGGGTGTTTGGTTATAGTTATTAATCAGTAATCAATGTAAATGAAAATAAAAGAAACTGTTTGATTTTCAATAATATAATGGGCCTATTCCTCCAGAAGTCCAAAATTTTATTCCTGGTTAAACCTGAGAGAATGAAAATTCATTTTCATTTTCATTTTCATTCCTCAGCATTAGCCAAACAGACCCTTGATCTACGAACGGTGGTATATTCAAAAGTCGATGTTATCGATATGTATATGCAACTATCTTTTTGAAATGTCAACATTAAGAGGCTTTATCTTTTTGCCATATTACTAATAACCATTTCTGGTTCTCATCTTTGTCGTCATTCATCTTATCTTAAAGTTTTCTAATATTTTTTGTTGAGAAACGTGACGTGCACCAAATTAAAGAACAAATCCATGTCGAATTCTGACTTTTCCAACGTGCCTAAATGTCCCTTTACGAATATTAGTTCTTGACCGGTCAACAACTCAAAATACACATCGATTACTCTTGATATCTAAAACACACACACACACACACACACACACATATACGTAATTAGGTCAGAAAAAAGTCATGTACAGAAGTATGAATAATATCGATAACATTTTTGCCGTTTCTTTTGCCAACATGCTCTGTTCGTTAATGAGATAAAGGGTTTTTGTTTGTGGATTGAACATTTTCTGTAGTTAAGATTGGAATAAAGATCGGGTTCTTCCAGTTGATTAAAATTTGTCTTCTTATCAAAGACACCTACGTGTTTTACTAGTCTCGAGATATAAGGTCTTTCGAGATATATCTCAATTTTATTGCTTTGTTTTATTATCTATCTATGTCCTACAGTTTTTAGTGGTTTTGAGAAAGCAATAATGTTTTTTATTTTTGAATAACATATAAATTTAAATATATCATAAAAATTTGAATATATATATATATATATATATATATATATATATCGATATTAGTATCGATTTTACTATTTAAAGTTCTGGTTTTTTTGAAATTTTCTTTAATTCAATATTTTATTTATAATCTAATTTAGGTTTAATAACGAAGTAATTTATTTATCGTTTAATAAAATAAGTTCTATAAAAATAATAATTAAGTATTTTGTTATTACTAATTATTATCTTAATTATACTTTAGATTTTTTATTTTCAAAACAAGATGTCTATCCCATATTTGATTATGTTTATCTATATGTTAGTTACACAAATTAAAACATGAAGTTTTAATAAGTTGTACTTACACACAATTTACTTGTGATCTTGAATTTTAAGTAATATGCATCAACACACAATATTTTATGCATAAAACCAGAATAAAAACATAATAAATCAAGTTTAGTTATTTAGTTAGCCACAAATAGTCCCTCAGGTTGATATAGTATGAAAAAGTATGAAGAGGGGTTGGTTTTGTCAATTTCTAAAGTTCAAATATAAAAGAAAATTTAGTTCAAGGGTGCAAAATGTATTTAATCATAATGGAGTGACTAAAGGCGAGTGTGACAAAAAGAAGA